CACACCCCAGGGGAACATCATCACACAGCTGGGGATCAGGGAGTGATAGGAGTGGGTAGGGGGATTGGGGAGGGATGATATTAGGAGAAATACCTAATATAGATGATTGGGGGAATCAATGCAGCAAACCACCATGGTGTGTGTGTACCTATGTAATAAACCTGCGTGAGCTGCACGTGTACCCCAGAACTTAAAGTATAATTTTAAAAATTGCTGTATATCTCTATATCTACATAGATATATATCATTTATAAAAATATGAAGTAATGGCTAAAAATGGTGTATAGGAGAGAGAAACACCAAATTTGGGAGAGTATTTACTTGGAGGGAGAGAGATAGGAGAGGGCTACCCTGAAATCAAACTACTTTTTAAGTAAGAGTGGCAGGATTTTAGAATTCTTTGAAAAATCAGTAGTAGGCACATGGCTGTCCTTCATGCTATTTTATGTACTTTTTGTATGCACAAAATATTTTATAATAAAAATGTAAAAGTATTAAGAAGAAGTCTAAAGACTATTAGTTAAAGGAGCATCCTAGAAAAATCAAGAGGTAAAATAGAGTAATTCTTTCTGCAAGCTGCCTAAGAAGGCACTGTGTATAGGGGGCAAAAAAGTAACAGCAGAAACATAGCATCTCTGTCCCTCACCTCGGGGTCTCTGGAAGGCCTGTGATTTCCCTTCTGGGGCTTTCCTACGGGTATTTCCTACTCTTGGACAGACTTTTCTTTGATGAAAGCCTTCAAACCCCAGCTTCCACAAACACCACCAGTATCACTATGATGCTGTGTTGTCATCTGTCCATCCACCTGTGGGTCACGACCCCCTAGTTCTTGAAGATTTGAGCTCTTGGGTCACTGTCCCTCTCTCTGTCACCCACAGAGATGATCTTCTTTGACCCTGGCCTCTTAGTTCCTTGCACTTCTTTCCTCCAATGACTGTCGCTTGCTTGGATATTGCAGTAGCCTCCTGACTGGTCCCCCTTCTCTGGCATCATTCCCTACTTCATCAGTTCTTAACAGTAGCCAGCAAGAGGCATCCTTTTAAAACATTGGGTCATGTCCCTTCTCTGCTCCAAGTCCCTAAGTGACTCCCACTCAGCAGAAAAGCCAAGCTACCCTCATTATCTTCAAAGCACTACATTATTTGGCTCCTGGTACCTCCTCTCCTGCTGCCTTCCTGCTCCTTACTCTGGGTTCCTGGATGCTCCTGGAACCTGCTAGGCATGCTCCTGCCTAATTTGTACCTACTGCTCCCTCTGCCTAGACCTTTTCACTCTAGATATCTCTATGATTTGTTTCTTCTCTCACCTCCTGATATGGTTTGGCTGTGTCCTCACCCAAACCTTATCTTGAATTGTAGTTCCTGTAATCCCCATGTGTCGTAGGAGGGAACAGGTGGGAGGTAATTTAATCATGGGGGTGGTTACCCTCATGCTGTCCTCCTGATAGTGAGTGAGTTCTCATGGGATTTGATGGTTTTATAAGGGGCTTTCCTCTGTTTTGCTTGACACTCTTCTCCTTCCTGCCGTCCTGTGAAGAAGGACATATTTGCTTCCTGTTCCACCCTGATTGTAAGTTTCCTGAGGCCTCCCCAGCCATGCTGAACTGTGAGTCAATTAAACCTTTTTTTTTTTAAATAAATTACCCAATCTCAGGTGTGTCTTTATTAGGAGTGTGAGAATGAACTAATATACCTCCTTTAGGTCTTTGCTCCCGAGTTGTCACATTTGTCATGAGGTCTTCCTTGACCACTTTATTTAGAACTGCTCTCCCCATACACAATGTTTTCTATCTCTATTTCAGCTTATTTTTTTTCTCTAGTATGTAGCACTCTCCAATATGCGATATAATTAATTTCTTTATTTTGTTTATAGCCTGTCTCCCTTCACTGGAATGTAATCTCCATTAGGACAGAGGTTTTCATATGTTTTATTGCTTTAATACAAGTGCCTGGAACAGTGCCTCACAAAGAGAAGATTGTTGGGGGGACATAGCAATGGAGGAAGGGTTTACAGTGAGCCTACATAAACTGGTTAGAAGTAATGTATAAAAGAAATCAGGAACAATAAACTGTGGAAGGCAGAAGGAGGCCTCTGGGGAGGAAGGCCTCTCTATGGCAGCATGTTCCCAGGAGCAGAGTGACCCAAGCTCTGACATTTTAAACATAATGCTCAAGGAGATAACACTCCTTCGAAGGGCTGGAATGTAGCCAGACATGTAGGCTCCTTGTTAAGTCTTTTCCCACCAGCTGTAGATAGAGAATTACCTGCTTTTCGCTCTTAGAAAGCTCACAAACTGCCACTGCTATTAATCTTATGTTTGATGCACAGCATTCCTTTCACCAGTTCACTCCACCATCTGCACTATAGATCAAAGTGATTGTATTTAATAAATACTGTGGAAAACCAGAGCTCAGGGCCTTTGCAGCCTCCATTTTGCAATGGCCCCCTGGTCCCAATTTATGCATTCTTAACCCTTCTTTGTCTCATTGCTTTGTCAACACTGAACTCGGAGTACCCATGGGTAGTGTGTGAGGCTGGCACCCTATAAAGATGCAATTAAATACTTGCAGAAAGACTTGGGCTTGCAAGAGGCTATTCCATTGTTCCCCTCCCGTTTTCAACCATCTGTAGCTGCCTCCCTTGAAGCATCTTCCAGTTCCCATGGCCGCTGCCCACACATGCTTTTCTGCCAGTATCTAAGCTGTTCTTGTGTTCTGGGGTCCTGGGACAATAGCTCACTTCCATGCTGGACTCCAGGCTGGGGTCATCAATAAGCCTTTCTTTCCATAGCACAGGAGTGTGTCATCTTCTGATTCTTCCTTTTTCCTGGCTGTCTAGCTGAAATGCATTCTAAAGAGCGAAATAAGATTGGCAATTACATTGGTCAAGCAGGCTAAATTGCTGTAACGAGCAGATCCAAACTAATTATGGCTGAAACATAACAGAGGCTTACTTAGACTTACAAGTAGTTGCCTCCACACAGTAATAATATTTATCATCTTCATCACTATGGTCTTAGCAGGAGGCATATATTTCAGTTGATAAACTCATGTATGCAAGAAATGTAACTTTGTTTTTTCTAAAATCTAACTTCTATTTTCAGTCCCAGCCTGTTAAGATGGCAGAATTTTAATTTTAGTCACTTTAAACATCCCTGTTCCCCTCTTTTCCTGGGGAGGGAGTTTAAGAGTGGGGTAGGGAGAAGTGCATAGTTCCTGATGTCATCTGCTCACACCAGTACTCACAGAGATGGCCATCATCTGGAGTAGGCTTTGAGCATCAGGATGCTGCAGAAGTGTCCCTAGATTCCAGCCGTATGGCTCTTCCAGGCCGGGAGGGGCTCTCTATGACTTCTCTGTCTCTCTTGTGGATACAGGAATCATTAGGTTGCTCTCATGCTGTGACAGCAACTCTTCAAGGTTCTGTGAGGCTCCATTTGGCAAGGCATCCCATGCAACTATTCTTACCTGGGCTCTTGCTTTTCTTGGAGCTCAGCCCAGCTCTTGGATCCCACGACTCCATCTGGGAATTCTATTGCCTTCCCGGGGCTCAACTTTGGAGCAGGGAACAAGGTTGCTCTCTTTGGGACCCATCGGCACTTTCATATCCTGGCCTTTTTCTTTACCTCTTTCGTCACTCCAGGATGGAGATTTTTTCCTAGTGTGACGAGGAGGGTAATTCTTGCTCTGGCTCACTTCTTATCTACGTTGTGAATTCTTTCTCTTTTTCTAAGGGCCTGGGTTTTGGGAACTTAAAACTAAAAGGAGAGACCCCTTCCCTCTGCATTTGGCTGTCACATTCTCTTCACTGGGTAGAGAATAACTTGGTCACTAGTGAGAGGAAGGACTGAGGGGCATCGCAAGGGGGAGGAAATGGCTTTTATTATCCATGGTCTCCCATAAAAATGGGAGAATTGTGAAATATTTAAAAACACCATTCCACCATTTGATAATACTAACGACAACCACAATGATGATGTAATTTACATCTACTGAGCATTTAGTGCATGCCAGATCCTCTAAGTGCTCTCTACACACAGCATCTCTATTAACTGTCACAACTGATCCATGTGTATTTAATATTAGTCTTATTTTCTATCAGAGCAGTCGAAGTTCAGCAAGGTAAAGGGACTTATGTGTGTCAGGGTCTCACAGTTTGCAAACAATGGATCTGGGCCTCAGAGGCTAGCCTGCACCTAAAGTCTAGGCTCAACCACTGCAGCTCCTGGCCTCTTGGCAATATCCCTGGAACCTCAGGACACCAAATGGGGAATCAGTCTATTCTTTCACACTCCTTATCAGGCAGGAGTGGGGCTGGCCTTCCTGATTCCTTGCCCAGCAGAGGTGGGTTGTCCCTAGGGTGCTCCCACTGCCAGCCTCTTCCTCAGAAGCTGGTTGCCCTCTCTGTTTCTGCTGTGGCTTATCTCATCTCTCTGCAGGTTTCCAACCTCTCTCTCTCTTTCATGGTTGGGCTTTACAAATAAAATATAAATTTAACTAAGAGCTCATACCACAAAAAGGGAAGAAGTGGTAAGTACAGGCAGCAAACAGAGCCCAAGGGTTAACACCCTGCTGCCACTGGGTACATGGGTTTTGCAAAGGGGGTGGCCCGAGGCTCCTGGGTCTGTGTTCTTGGGCCCTCCAGGTGGTCGCTCCTGCTCATGCTGAGGCTGGACTTCCCAGGTTCTCCCCCAGATAGGCAGAGCCTTTTCCAGGTAGAATGCCTGTGACTTCAGAAAGACTTCAAACAGTCTCTATTATCAGAGGACTGTTCCTTTGGATTAAGAATCTCCAAATACCAGATAGGCTCACTCTAAAAATTCAGGTATCAGACATTTTCACCTTAGTATAGCTGAGCTGAATCATCTGGCTCAGAGCAAGGCTCCCAGGGGACAGTCATGTTGGTGGGCAGTGGGAAGGGAGGGGAGGAACTTTGGAACATGGTACAGGTGGGTTGGTGCAGGGGGCTGTGGGAGGGTGCACAGCTGCGTGTCTCTGCAGGTGAGGACTCCATCAACACCTTGGGCCTGATCCTTGGCGTGGGGCTGTCGCTGCTGCTCGTGTCCATCCTCGGCTACAGCTTGGTCAAGTGGTACCAGCGTGGATACTGCTGGGAGGGTGAGTGTGCACTGGGCCCTGTTGCCCCAGCTCTTCTTCGTAGCAGTTGGCAATGCCTGGAATGGCTGCAAACTCCTCAGCATGGTGGGATGCGAAAGTATTTCCTGTGATGGTTGCAGTGGTTGAAGACTTGAGTGGATGGCTGAGCAGTTGAGGTGGTGAGGTGAGGCAATGGTGCCTTTATCGAGGGAATGGGGGCTCCTCCCACCCCAGTAAGTAGCCAGCTTCCTCCTCCCTCAGAGCCCATAGAAGGCCATGCCAGGGGCCTCTGTGGGCTAGATAAGAGAGCAATGGGCTAGACAGGCCACGCTCCAAGTGGTCTCAGTTTGGCTCCTTGTGTGTCTCTTCCCCTGCCTGTGGGTCTTGGGACCCTCTCCCAAGCTTGTGGAGGTGTCGGCTTCACTGGGAGTCTCCTGGAATTTGCTGTGATGTTCTCAACTCTGAGACATGGCTGCACTTTTCACAGGACTCTGGTAAAGCCGGAAGGGTGTGCTGGAATGCCAAGGGGCAGAGACTGTTTCACAGATCTGCAGTTAACTTGAGTCCATGGATATTTGTTGAGCACCTACTCTGTGCCAATACACTTTTACCTAATAAGATTTTCTTTAAAATTCCACATGAGAAAGATATTATTATAGCCTTCACTTTTATAGATGCGGACATGAGGCTGAAGTCGTGGAGTTAGAATGAGGTGGAGCCCAGGTCTGAATTCAAGCCCAGATCTGGTTCTTTTGTGGTCCAGCCTAGGACTGCCTTCATCCCAGGATAATCAAGACCCTTAATGGGGCCCTGAAGGAGGCTGGGATGCTCCCACACCATCCTGAGGCTCAGCCCAGCCACCCTCCTCCTCCAGACAGGGGTGAGGGGGCACCAGACATTCTTAGAAGGGTGATGGACTGCTTTCCCTGGAAGTGTTAACCCTCTCTTTTTGAATTGTCTTCTTAGGGCCTAATTTTGTCTTCAACTTATATCAAATCCGGTGAGTAAATCCAGGGAAGATCTGGGTGAGGTGGGCATTGCGGGTAGAAAAAGAATCAAAGATAGAATAAGAACTGACTGCTTCGTTTTCCTGTCTTCTGTTCATGGCCCCAAGAAAATAAAAGAGGGCACGAGAATCCATTTAGAAAAGTCTCATGAATAAAAACTTGAATGCAGGACTATGGGAAACCCTGATGACAATGATCTTTTTAATATTCACCCTTAGGCAGGGAATATTCATCCATCCATCCATCCATCCATCCATCCATCCATCCATCCATCCATCCATCTCTCCCCCAAGCAGGCAGAGCCAGCCTTCCTTCCTCCCTCCCTCCCTCCCTTCCTCCATACCTTTTCCTTTCTTCCTTCCTTTTCCTCCCTCCCTCCTTTCCTCCCTTCCTTCCTTTTCCTTCCTTCCTGCCTTTTCCTTCCTTCTTTCCTTTTCCTCCCTCCCTCCCTCCTTTCCTCCCTTCCTTTTTTCCATCTATCCATCCATTCATTCATCTGTCAATCATCCATCATTCATCATTTCTTCCTTTCTTTCATCATCCATGCATCCATCCATCTTTCCTTTTTTCCACCTTACATCATTTATTCAGAAAGATTCTATCATAACCACCACTACTGTGGTATATTTCTAAGAGTACAAAGATGACTGGGAATAGTCTGTCTTCAAGCATTTCATGTCTATGCTGGAGACAGGTCTGATGATAAATAATGTAATCTCAGGCACAAGATGGTATCAAAATAAGATGCATATGAGAAAGTCAGGGATTTAGGGAGTGCGAGCTGGAAGTCCTCTTGGCGTTGGTCATCTCATCTACTCGCCATAGGCGGGGCTGTACCTCCTTTGGCCCTGAGAGATGATTATGGTAGGTGGCCCATTTCCTTTTCTGGAAGACAAGTCAGTGAGTCGGTGCCCTGGAGTCAAAGGAGATGGGGTCTGAGGGAGAGGCTAGGTTGTCAGCTCCAGTAGCCTGATTGGATCATCTTTCTCAGGAATCTGAAGGGTCTGGAGATGGGTCCACCCTTCACCATCAGTGGTCACATCAGCAGCCCAGATGGTGGCTACATGAAGTTCTCCAACAGGCTGGTCTGATGCAGGGGCAGCAACTTGTGGAGGCCTGGGGAGGTGAGTTGGAGGTGGGGGAGCTCCCATGTCAACCTGATGTCCAGGTAAGGTCCTAAGAGGGTCCAGGCATCCAAGCCTCACACCAAGGACCACTTGGAACCCAAAGAGATTATCTGGTCCGTCCCCTGTCTTCTGCTTCTGATCTCAGGCTTGGGGTCATGTTTTCCTCCACCTGCTTCTGGCACTGGGCCAGCCCTGTTTCCTCCTGTCCACCCAATCCATGCCCGGCCTTTCCTTCCTGGGAAGATTCTGTTTGTATTCAAGGGGGAAGCTTCTCGAGCAGAGCTTTTTTATCTCAACTCTTGCTCTAAGATGAAGTTTCCGGATGACCAGTCTCTCCAAGAAGCATCACTCTAGCACTTCAGTTCTGAGCTTTCTGAGGCCAGGAGCTGCCCCTGCTTCATGGCCCACTAACCCTTTGGCCACTTCCCCTCACCTGCTTTCCAGGCCCTCCCTTCCCTACATCTCAGTTGCTTTTTCCCAACCAAACCTCTTCTCCCTGCAGAGTTCCCACCCCTTCCAGGCTCCCCTGGGCTGCCCTCATCCCCTTGGATCTTCAAGGCCTGGCCTGGCCCCTCCCTGTAGAGAACGAGGGGGTCTCCTCTGGATGCACAGTCTGCAGCATTGGATTCCTGGGGAGTCAGGCGTCTGGGGATGGAGTCTGGCTGGGCAGCAGCGGCTTTCTCACAGAACTAAAAGAGGCAGCCACTCCTCAGGAGGGAGCTGGGTTCTGGGAAGCCCCGAGCCTGTAGGAGGGGTCACAGATGTCCTGGAGAACCAGCCCTGCCCAGTGCAGTGCAGCGTGGGCGAGGCCTCCAGAGAGCAGCGGGGAGCTTCTTTATGGGGTGTCTCCAGTCACCTCCCCTTGTAGGGTAGACCAGGGCGGGAAAGCTACTCATAGATTTAATAGGCAAAGTTATGGAAAGACGTGATTCCAGACAGGGTTTTAACCTTCCCACCTGAGGCCAACTTCCCTGAAGCCTGAGCTGGGCCTTGACTCTGCCCTGCCCCGCTTGCTACTTGGCTCTGGCACTTTCAACCCTCCCCCTGCCCTGTCCCCCATCTGGGCCTGTTCTCTCACTGCTGAAGGCCTCTGCGCCTCCCAAACATGGCCAGCTTCCAGTTTTGATGTGCAGTGCTGAGAACAGTCTAGAAACATGTTCTTGTTGCCTCGGCTCCTGCGACGGGGTGGGCACGGAGGAGTGGGTGAGCGCTATGTACACAGTGTTCTGCATTTCTTATGCAAAGGCTGCCCTGTGGCAAAAGTGGGCCGGAAATGGTGGGAGGTGGGAGGAGGAACCCACGCGAGGCTGAACAAACCAGATAATATATCAGGGAAACCAGGAATCCACTGCAGTTTGGTGGACAGCGGGGCAGTTCACCTCATGACTCATCGTTCCTTCCTCCGGTCTGTGCCCTGCTGGACTGGAGGGAAAGTGTGCATAGGGTTATCAGCTCAGAAGGTGCTTAATGCAGAATTGTTCAATCCAGAGACACAGAGTCCTTGGGGCTGCTGTGGATGGAGTAGGGCAAGAGAAGGGGCCCGGTCACTGCTGAAACCTGCAGTTAGAACAGCCAGCAGCCAGCCCCTCTGCTAGCAGTCCAGCAACAGATGCAGGAGCAGGAGGAGGGAAGCTGTGTGATTCTTGTTCTTAGTCTCCCTTTCCTGATGCCTCATTTCTTTCTTGTTTTGGGTTCTAGCAGATTTTAGAAGAAGGAAGGCGAGGAGCCTTACCAGCCCTTACCCCATTTTCTGACGGGGTCTGGGGGCCATTCTCCCAGCATAGCCAGGCTTTGACTTAATTTCCAAGTCTCTGGATTTGGAGGTCTTCAACTGAGTCCTCTGCCCTCGAGTAAGCGGGAGTGGGGAAGGCCCCTTCATGGTTGTGGGACCCCCTCCCTTCTTTGAAGGTCTCTTAAAGTAGCAGGGAGGGGAGATGGGTTGACTTTGGCTTCCTTCCTTGGATTTCATTTCTGAGGACTGGGGCCCCTTTCCTAACCCCTAGAGTTTCTGGCCCCAGTAAAACTTTCTTTCTTTTTCTTTTCTTTCCCTTTTTTTTTTTTTTTTTCCTTGAGATGGAGTCTTATAGTGTTGCCCAGGCTGGAATGCAGTGGCGAGATCTCTGCTCACTGCAACCTCCACCTCCCAGGTTCAAGAGATCCTCCTCCCTCAGCATCCCAAGTAGCTAGGATTACAGGTGCGCGCCTCCACGCCTGGCTAACTTTTATATTTTTAGTAGAGATGGGGTTTCACCATGTTGGCCAGGCTGGTTCCGAACTCCTAAACTTAAGTGATCCACCCGCTTCACTTCCCAAAGTGCTGGGATTACAGGTGTGAGCTGCTGCACCTGGCCTGGCCCCAATAAAACTCTCAACTGTACCCTGCTCGGCAGGGATCCTAGATCTGCAGTCCATGCCCAGCCACCCTAGGCCCCTGGAAGTGCTCAGAACTCAGCAGCCTTGGGGAAACTTGAAAGGGAGAATGGTTCTCAGGACCCAGGTGGCCCTGGTCCCAGGTCTGTGGCTTCAGGTGAGGAGACGGGGACAGCTGCCTGGGGCTGGGAGCACAGAGGGTATTTCCCATCCCCAGGAGCAGAACTGATACTGGGCAACTTCCTCTTTTAGGGCCCTCTGACGCACCCTCCGTCCCCTCAGCCTCCCCCTCTTTTCCTTACTTCCGCAAGGCACTGGCGAGCACAACTTTCTTCACCCGTGGGTCCCGGGCACCACCCCTGAACTCTGTTGCGGGTTCTGAAGTGCAGATTCCAGCTTGTTTAGAAATGATTTGGGAGCAGATGCCTGGAAATACAGCCATAGGTTTTGTTGGGCCGGGCACTGGCTGGGCATCCAGACCATGGCTGTGCCAGGGCCTCTCCCAGCACCTCCCCATTGCCTTTTGACGGTTCTTCTTTCCACTGGCCCTCAGAGCCCAGAGGCAGTCATGGGGCCTGGGAGCCCAAGGGCCCCATCCTCAGCCCTGAGTTCCCAATGACCCTCTCCTCTTCTTTCCTTTTATTTTCTTTATACCTTCCTTGACCTCCAAATCACCAAAGTCTGCTTATTCTTAACACCAGCTCAAACTTCCCTTCCTCAGGGAGCCTTGGTAAGACTCATGGATCTTGCTCTCTGCTGATTTTAAATACAGATAATCTCGGGCTCCCATAACTTTATTATTGATTATTTCTTTGCATTTATTTATTCACACTGCTTCCATAATATGCCAGGAACTATGCTACGCACTGTGGGGGCATCCAGGCTCCCTGAAATCAACCTTGCTTTCTCCTATTTTACGAGAATTTCTTGCAGGTGGAATCAGTTTTTAAACCTCTTCTGAGTTCTCCATGGTACTTTGCATGGCTCTGGCCACAGCCAGGAACTTCTCAGGAAATTGTGTTGAAATCAATCTGTCTTCAGAACATGTTGGGCATTGCTTCATCCCTGGTGCAATACTAGGTGCTCCGAAAACCAAAAGTTTTGATCTCTTCGCATCCTTGACTACATTCAACCCTGTGCTCATGATCACTTACATTTCTGAGACAGAGCAAACAGATGGCAGTTTTTCTATATTAAAGTATAACCTAAGGAATAATCAAAGCCATGATGAGGCTGGCAGGTGAAGAGGGAACTTTTCTCTCCTGTAGGTTCTTCTTCAAGTCTTAATGGTCTTGTCCCATGCCAGTGGCATTGGAGGGGGCCTGGTGCCAGGAGCCAGGAGGGCCAGAGTCTACAGTGCCCCACTCTCTGCACCAGGGATCTGAGAAGCTCAAAGCAGGAGCAGATGGGAGGATCATTATTATATTTTTTAAAACTGCTTAGTGATCAAAAACCATCTAGAAGCCGTATATTTAAACAGATCTGTTACAAAACAGGAAGCCAGTGGCCTGGCCAATTCTCACACTTGGAGACCAGAAGTGAAAATGTTCTGCCTGCCCAGAGTAGCAGCAGGCCAGCAAAACAACAGGTGGGGCTGGGCGCGGTGGCTCATGCCTGTAATCCTAGTGCTTTGGGAGGTTGAGGTGGGCAGATCACTTGAGTTCAGGAGTTCAAGACTAGCCTGGCCAACATGGTGAAAACCCTGTCTCTGCTAAAAATACAAAAATTAGCCAAGTGTGGTGGCTCCAGCCTGTAGTCCCAGCTACTCAGGAGGCTGAGGCAAGGGAATTGCTTGAACCTGGGAGGCAGAGGTCGCAGTGAGTCGAGATCGCACCACTGCACTCCAGCCTGGGTGACAAAGTGAGACTCTCAAAAAAACAAACAAACAAAAAACCAGGTTGGGCTGGAGACGGGTTTTTACCTGAAGAGCTGTGGGTCTGGTCTCCTCCTCCCCAGTCAGGAGGATGAGGTTTCTCATGATAAGCAGGGAACCACTGGGTGGGGGGATGGTGGGCAGTAGAAGAAGTCACATCTATTCTAGTCCCAGTTCCTCCCTTTGTAGCTGGTGAGTGCAAGCTCTCTGAGCCCCTGGTGCTGTGTTTGTATAAGGTTGCCATTGGTCCTGAGGACCCTGAGGTCCCTTTCAGCTGAGAGGCTATTTCAGAGCTCAGCTATTCAGAACTCTGAATAATCCTTTGTCATCCACTTCTATCCTCAGCCCTAGCTGGCAGCTACCCTGACATCCTTGGCCCCCAAGAACATACTTCTCCCTCCAGATGGTCTGTAAACAGTTCCACAGTGCTGGGGGGTGGAGGGAGTAGAAGAGGATGTGGGTGGAGTCATCCATGTGTGTGTGTGTGTGTGTGTGTGTGTGTGTGTGTGTGTACTGCACAGCTGAGCCAAGAAGGAGAAGGATCATACCAGATTGTCTGTTGTATTTCCAGAGGGCCTGCTCATGACAGAGGCTCAGTAAATGTTTTGCCCAAAGAGTGAACGCATGTTGAATGTTTTCACGGTCCTTTGCCTTGTCTCCTAACCACATTCGCTTGCCTTGGTCTTCCTGTTTGGTCTGTAGTCCTGAGTTCCTACAACGCCCAAGAGTTGTAGGGTGAAAATAGCAGGGAAGGGAATCAGCAGCGTATAATATGACTCAGCTAAGAAGATGAGAAACCTGAAGATAAAGTTTAAAATCATAGTTATGTATAGCCTGCTTTTCTTTAGGCTCAGTTCGGTGTCTCCGAAGTATCTGTTCAGCCACAAGCTCCCATCACCACTGTTGCCTTCTCATGTTTGGACACTATGCTTCTTCAAGTTCCTTCCCACGAATGGAGGAAATTCATTCATTCATGCATTCATTTATTCATCAAAATGAGCACCCATTGCCATGTGTTAGGCATTGGCTAAGTACAAAGGACACAGAGAGAAATCAGAGTGGTTCTGCTCTCCAGGAGCCCGCAGTCAGTGCTGCATGTAGCACTCTTGGGGATAGCAGTGTGTCCAGGGCACTAACGAGAGAAGTCAGCTTCAGGACTCCTCTGTTCATTTGACAGATAAGAAGACTGAGGCCCAGAGCTGACATGACAGATTCATGTCCAGAGAACAGATAGCAGCTGAGCATTCTTTCTATTCCCTGGGGCTGTTGCCTCTTCCTGTTTGCCCTTGGAGCATTTCCAGACCAACAAGCTTGCTATGGCCATCCATCCTGCCATTCACATATTAGAGCATACCATGTGCAGGGTCATTCACATATTATAGCATACCATGTGTGGGGTGTCCCTGGAGCTGTCTGTGCTGCAGAAGCAGTTGGAAGAGGAGTCAGTGAATAGAAACTGTTCATTCAAAAGGTTGATTGTGAAGAATGGGAGAGAAGGTGGTGCTGGCCAGGAAGTTTTCAGAACGCTTGGCTTGTCTTCCCCATGGAGGCCTCCAGAATGCACCAGCTGGGCCAGATGCCCGCTCTCCACATGCCATCGCTCCCCGTGCCCAACCCCACGACAGCCCGGACAGTTGATGCCTCCTGTCCTCCCAGCCTGACAAATATCATCTGCAGTGCCCACTGCCTGCCATCTGTTTACTGCCCGGCTCCTCCACTTCTGGAGGAGCCCATGCAGCCTTTGTGCCACATCAGGAGGACTGCCGTACAGAGATTAGACTGAGGGAGCAGGAGTGGATGCAGAGGAGGAGGACAGAGCCTCATGGTGGTCCAGGGGAGAGGTGACAATGAATTTGACCAGATGACAGTGGGGGTGGTGACAAATGACTGGATTCACCATCTATCTGGAAGGTAGAGCTGATAGGACCTACTGAGGAGTTTGATGGGGCAGAAAATTCCTGGGGTTTTGACCTGAACTAGGAGAACAGTGGTGCCGTTTATCAGGTGGGGAAGACTGGGAGAGGAAGACGTGTGGGGGGAGTTATGAGCTCTGTTGTAGACACTATAATTTTGAGATGCATGGTAGACATCCACACGAAGCTGCTGATGAGGCAGCTGGAGAGAGTTCAGGAGAGAAACCCTGTTGGACATTTGGAAGCCACCAGCATCCAGTTGCCACTTAAAGGTATGGACCAGGTGATACCAAGTAGGGGGTAGTGGGGAGAAAAGGACTGACTAATAGAACAAGCAGCAAATCATCAGGTCGTTCTCTAAAGGGGTGACTCTCCAACTTCAGTGTGTGCTGGAATCACCGGCAGTGTGGTCATGGTAAGTGAATCGGCATTCAGAAATTCTGGGCCTCGGGAAGCAGTTTAGGAAGACACCCACAGGTAATTCCGATAGAGGCGATCTTCTGAGAAACTCTGCCTTACGGGACAGGTAGAGGGGATGTGGGGAAGTGGAGGGCAAGGGATATTTCCAGGGCTGGGGTGACCAGATAGTAAGATCCTAAAGAATGTTCCTGTTCTCTCCAGGGTCACTGTGAGGGCTTAATCTCCACTATGCCCTCCTGCCCCATGCAGGTAGGGGTAGACAGTGTAGTATCCTACACCCAGGGCTTTGCTGATCACGTACTAGTCTGTACCCCTCCCTGAGCCTCTCAGCTCTGCAGACTGGACAACTTACAAAAGGTTGTACCTCAGCTGCACCCTTGATAATGGGCTGCAATTGACCAAGGAGCCCCAGTGAGGCTCCTGGCTGGGCTCTGCAAGACAGATGCCAAACACAGCCACGGTTCCTGTGACTCGATGAGCCAGAGATGGCAGCCTGCTTTTCCTCAAGGCAGGAAGTCATTGGGTGAATATTCTAGTTGCATATTGACTGCAGGGGATTTGGGGATCTTCTCCAAGCCAGTGTGCTTACCTTCACACTAAGGGGTAATGGGCTCATTCACACTCACATGGGAATCCTCAACCCTGAGCCTCACAGAGCCAGGCCAGCCTTGCCATCTGCTGAAAGACCTTTTCTTGGATGACTTGTCATTATTAAACCAGAACTCACCATATTCCCTCTCCCTCTACACCTGTGTCTCCCTTCCATGTCCATATTTTGCTTTTCTTACCATTGAGTTAAAGTGTGACCAGCACTACCCAGACCTTCTTCTTTCACTCCAGCCCGTCACCCCATCTTGATAACTCTTCCTTTAAAATGTCTTTTGAGTCTGTCCTCTTTTCTCCTTTCCCACTGCCCCTGCTCAATACTGTCATTAGACTATTGTATAAGCCTCTGTTATGAACCAAATATTTTCGTTTTCCCCAAATTCATGTTGAAGCTCTCACTCCCAATGTGATAGCATTTGGAGGTGGCGCCTCCGGGAAGTAATTGGTTTAGATGAGGTCATGAGGATGGGGCTTCCATGATGGGATTAATGCCCTTGTAAGAAAGTGAAAGACAGACCAGAACTCTTTATCTCCATCGTGTAACGACACAGCAAGGAGGCTGTCTGCAAGCCAGGAAGAGAGCCCTCCCTGGGAACTCACCCAGCTGGCACCTTGATCCAGCACTTCCCCACCTCCAGAACTGTGAGAAATCAATGTCTGTTGTTTAAGCCACCCAGTTCATGGTATTTTGTTACAGTAGCCCAGCCTAAGACAGCCTCCTATCCTGTTTCTCTGCTTCTCGCCTCATCCTTCATGTGGAATAGTAGTTTCTTTCACACTGCTTATCACTGATTGTAGTGATACATTTGTTGTGTTTATTTGCTTGCTGTTTATCTTCATAACCAGATCACACATTCCATGAAACCATGCTTCTTTGGTTCACCACTCTGTATCCAGGGCTGAACACCATGTCTAATTCATAATGTTTCTTGACAAAATGAAATGCTGACTACAATAAAAGCCTCCACCACGTTTCTCTGCCTCCTGCCTCATCCTCTCTGATTCATGTCTGATGCTTTGGCCAGGGCCATATTCTTAAAACACGAGTTTTATCCTACCCAACACTTCCTTGGAAGAGTGTTTATTGGGTCCCACACCCCTTTTGGAGGTTTATGGGAAATTAAGTGAAGTTAGGATCAAGATAATAGTGGGGAAAGGTGCTGTGTGTCATTAATAATGATGCATTTAATTTTAAATTGTGGGTTTGCTTTTTTAAACCCATGAGCACTACAGGAAATGAGTGAGTCAAGCTTCCTAGTATCTAGGGTCCTCTAGGTTGAGGCTTGATCAGAACAGCTGCTGCCACTTAGGCAGGAGACTTGTCAGTGGTCCCAGGCAGTCACAGCCTACAGCTTCCCTTGCTGTGCTGTTCACATGTGGGGCTCAGAGACCTTCCAGCCAGTAGAGCAGCATGGGTTCTAGGGGTGGGACCCAGCCTCCTAGGGACTGTGCCTTTTGTAAACGTGTGGACACTGAGGCAGGGGGAATGGGTATATGCTGGGTAGACAAGGCAGACTCTGACTACGGCTATTTAGAAACTTGGGAAAACACAGTTCAATTTAATTTCCTCTTCAGTCAATGGTGGCCCATTTCCCCCATCTCCTTACTAAGAGGAAGTTCCATTAGCTCACAGAAAGACAGCATCATATATTCCTTGGCCTGGAAAAGCCCTTGAAGGAGATTGTTCAGTCGAAGAACATCCGGGGCCTTCTGTTGGGGACTTTAATCCAAATTCCCAAGAAATCTGCAAGTGTCTCATTAGCCCCAGCTGCTTGGAAGAACTCGCTCAATTTCTCCCAAGGCCCTGGCTGTGGTGAGTGGTTAGAGAGCAGCCTCAAAGCAGAGGTGAACCAGTGCAGACTCCCACTCATTCCACAGAAATGGAGCAGGCAGGGTCTGCACCAAGGGCTGTGTCTTCTGACTTCCTTCTGTCCTGCAAGCTGCTTCTTGATCTATCATAGCCAACCAAACTGGCTGCAGTTCCTCGAACATAATTCCTCTTATTCTCTAAATTTTCATATTCAGACCACAGAGGCCTTTTCCATGGGGAAGGAGCTATCGCTAACACCTCATTTCTAGGAGAAAGTGACCAACCCTACTTTTCTTTCCATCTTGACGAGGGCTCTAGGGCAAAAGCCTGAGCAGGTCTGAAATGGTGGGATATTAGTCAAGTTCTGTGAAGATGATAGAATCAGCACTTTCTCAGAACTAGTTATTTTCTCAGAATGAACGGGGTGAGGCAAGGTTGGAGATGACACAGGGGAAAAGAGATGAGGTGTCCCCAGTGACCTTCTAGGAAATCCAGGTGAGACAAGGAGCACATGCAGGAAGCTCAGGCCGTAGGTCTGGGTTTGTTCTACCCACTAGGCTGAGCCTGGGGAGATTCAAACCCACATAGGGCTTTTCGTGGGGGGAGCAGGCTGCTTCTAGAATAGAGTGAAGATGGCTTCCACACTGAGGAGAACCACTGCTGGGACACACCTCCTGGGCTAGGGGAGCCGGGACAGGGCTCTGGGGAGGTGAGGTTTGCTGTCTTCCTGGAAAGAAGGGGTTTCCAGGTTCTTCTCTCCACACTGTCAGAACTCACATCCAAAACATTGCATTGTACTTTCCACCATTTGTTTTCCATCTTCTGAAAGAGCCCGCTGTGATTCCTTCTCTTTCATTTTCAGCTGCTTCCGAGAAAAGCTATTTCTCTTTATAGCCTTAACAGCTGTTTGCACATGGGGACCACCACATGCCTGGCACTGTGTTAAACTTTCTGTGTGATCTCATTTAAACCTCACAAAATTCCCATGGGGAGCTGTCAACTCCATGTGCTAGGTGGAGAAATGAAAACTTGGAGAGGGTAAGTAATGAGCCCAAGGTCACGAGGACGCCCTAGGTCTGTTGGATTTGAGGCTGAGTCCTCAGCCCTGTTTCCTTAGTGACATGACATATCCCACCCATTATTACCCTCCTCATTATCAACAACCGAATCCTCCGCCAGCCACTTGTGCCATCAGCAATCTGACTGGTTTCACATGATTCCTGTGGTCCTGACAATTTATTGGAATAAAAAATATGTATCACTAATTCACAGAGCTTTGTGTTCAAGGCACATTCATATCCATTTCCTCAGTAGAGCCTCATATCCCTATGAATTAGACGAGTCAGTCGTTGTTGTCCAGATGAAGAAACTAAGGCTCCAAGAGGATAAGTGACTTCCCCCAGGTCACACTGCTGGAAACAGCAGAGTCAGAGCTAGAACTTTAGGGCTTCTGAGATACCCAGAATTCTTTCACTGTGCAATGCTGCCTCTCCAATAAATAAATCACAAAATAAATAAAGCAAGCTTTCAAGGGAACCCTCAGGAATCTTCCCTCAAGCCTGTTTCCAGAGGGAGTTCAGTTACCAGACTGGCACCTAAGAGCATCTTGGCAGGGGGCAGTGGTCATGTTTTCAGAATGCTCCAGAGAAAGGCAGGGCTCAGAGAGAATTCTGGAGGGCACACATAGGCCTGTCTCCTCCCAGCTTCCATGCCTATCGACTGAAATTCCTCTGTCTGAAGACAGATTCCAAATGGCCTGTGGGAAGCAGGGTCCATACATGCCCCTTCCTGGGCCTGTGACTGATACTGTCTTGGCATGATACCATGGACTTCTACTGGATTTGTTAGCCCCTGGCATAAGAAACAAGCTGGCTTGGGAATCCGTGGACAGTATTTACTTTCTTCCAGGGCCAGCTTAGCTAATACCCAGCAAATGTGGAAGGCCCCCTAAAGGTGGAGTCCTTATTTCACAGATGGGGAAATTGAGGCCCTCTGACAAGTGGCTGGTCCACAGTCACACAGTTGAACACAAAGAGGGCAGGGACCCCAGCCCAGTGTCCAGTGCCTTATCCTCTGGGTCTGTAGCTGGACATTAGCAGCCAACACAAGCACAGGCCCCCAACCCTGACTCTCTGGGGCTGGCTTGAGCTGGCCCAAGCCCACAGGCCGCCCAAAGGGTTGAGTTATGACCAGTACAAAACCATGGCTTCTCTGGAACTTGCTAGAGAGATGGTAGGGCGCAGGGTGGGATGTGAGTGGCTTGGCCACAGCCAGTGCCCCAAGGGGATGCTACTCTGTTTGCTGGAGAGAGGGAGGTATTTGCAGATGGGCACCAAAGATACCCACTAGAGGGACGGGTTCTGAGCTGGAAGCTCTATCCAGGGTCTCAGCTCCCTTTGTCTCCCCTCAGTGTCTCCATCATGATACATTTGAGTGTCCAGAGAAGATACACCTTAAGATCTTCTAGTGGACAGGCTTTCTGCCTCAGAGGCCCAATAGGGGGTTCCCCATGTGACGATCCCAGAGGTCAAACTCAGCCTCCGTTTCCTCCTTTTCCCCCTAGAAATGACACCAGTAGTGAGGTCCTGAAGCTTCCATTTCCTCAGCCCTTCCTCCTGCTGGAGGTCCTGATGCTTGGGTGGCCTAAGCAGGGAGTTCTGGGTCTGAGCTGACTTTGGCCTGGCGGCTTCACCACAACTCCAGAAAGCCCCATGGTTCCCCTGAGCAAATACTCCTTTATGATTCAGGAAAGAGTCCCAACATGGGGAGAAGGTCCCTTCCCTTCTCAGCTCTGCCAGAGTCTGCGGGGCCCAGTCAGCAGAACGGGTTAGTATCCTCCACACACCCTGCATTAGTTCAGCAAGTCAACCTCCTCCTGCCCCAGACACCCTGACCAGCCCTGCAGGGCCGGCCCCAGTGGACTTGCAAAAAAGTGCCCAGACTGCCTTGTGCCTTACTCCTGCCCAGGGGGCTCCTCTTCCTGGTCCAGGTAGAGGAGCAGGCATGGCTAAAATCAAAAGCAGCTTTCCTGAGTCACTCATTTGAGTGCAGGCTGGAGATGAGGGGCAAGGTGACCAGGTCTGAGTTAAAGCTGCCCAGGAGACCACCTGGGGCTGCCAGACAGCCTAGAGAGGCAAGGTCATGGGTGAAACTCCAGTCAGATGTTCCCAGGTCACTGCAGCTGCTTAAGGCCAGTAGTGACCATTCCTCAGTGGGCTGGTTCCATTGTCCAGTTGGGGCCCCCGAGGAAGCCAGTGTCATTTCTAGGGGATCCTGTTTCAAATAGCCCTTGGCCAGGGCTGGTGGATGCCAGCCTTCCTCATCATCCAGGAGTGCCCTGAATTTGGGGCCAAGGCCATCTGTCAAGGCGGATTCCTCCCCCAGGCAGCCTGTCTTGGTTGCCTTCTCCTCAGTACCTCTGGTCTGCCTCAGGTAGCCCCGGAATGCCACAGCAGCTGGATCTTCTTCCCCAGGCACCTCAGTCTCTGGGGGACTGTCGTGGCCCAAGGCTGAGCCACGCTGTGTGTCCCCAGCCTGCCCCTCAGAGTTTTGAACTAGGCCAATTCCACTGTCATCCTGGCCCCTGCTGTCACTCCCCACCTGTTGCTCCCAGATAGGTCTTGTGCCAGGGCTCAGGCTGCGCTCCTGCAGGCAGATCCCACTGTCCGTGCTGTTGCTGCTGTCACTACTGCAGCTGTCCCCCAGCTCAGGGGCCTCCCCACTTCCCAGTGTTCTGTTGGCCTGGGGGTGGGCGTCAGAGAGGAGGAACTGCGGCTCTTCAGTCTGCAGGGATGGCTTGTTACTGCCAAAGCCACTGTCCGTGCTGCCGTGCAGGTCCAAGTTCCTTAGCTCTGGGGACACCTTCAGGAAGGCCTCCTCATCCAGTGGGTGGATGGTGTCCTGGGTCTCTGGGCAGGGTCGCTGGCTGCTGAGGTTGAAGGCGCTGGGCTTCGTGAAGAGCTGGGGAAGAGAGAGCAGAGTGAGAGAGGTAGGAGTCACCTTCCAGCACCCATCCCAGTGCTGCTGGGAAGGCCAGGCCCACGAGGAGAGCTCAACAGAGGGGACTAGAGTCTTAATTACACTGCAGTGTATTCTGTTTTGTTTTCAAATCCAGCTTTCTTCCTAATGCAATTCCCAGTTTGGCTCATAAGAAGCTTGTATTCT